GATCCGCCTGCCTCTGCCTCCCGAGTGCTGGGATTAAAGGCGTGCGCCACCATCGCCCAGCCATGAGTCCATTTATTGACCTACACACAACTAACTTCATATAAGCTCAAGGTTGGAAGAGCTTCTGAATGCTAGAGCTTGAAGTAAGGTTAGGGAAGAAGAGCTATTCCTGTCTTCTTGTTTCAGTCCTGGCCATCTTGAGCATCACCACAGGAAGGGGAGGAAATACAGAATGCAAAGGAACCCCACCAAATAGCTCTGTGTGCTGACTTTAACTCAAATACGCAAGTAGGGAGCTTGGCATGCAGAGGATCTTCTCTTTGAATAACCACATGTAACCGCACTAGAGAATTCATTAACATTTCTTCCCTTCCAGGCTTTAAGCACCCGAGAAAGATCTTAACTGGAGAATGACGAAGTGGCCAACACACGTGAAAGAGGCAACACACAGAACAATAATGGGGTCCAAAGATGAACAGGTAGAAACTGGCATCATTAAAATCAGTACATGATGCCCATTCAAGAGAGTTCTTGAATATGAAATACCACACTTTCAGGATGTTTGACTTGGTATTTCATAAAAAAAATAACAAATTACAAAACAGTATACGTTTCTGTGCATAATCTGACTCTTTAAAAAAAATCCTATGCTAACCTCCTCATGTGAAGAATTGACTATTAACAGCAAGCTTGCACATGATTAAAACCGATGCTTTCTAGGCCAAGGAGACAGCATGAAGGTGGAGGGTGGAGGGGCAGAAGGCCATGCTATCTCAGTGTCTCTTGGGAACAACTTCATGTTCTCCTGTCTACAAGCCGACAGGTCAATGACCCCCATTCCTGTGAGTGGCGCCCTGGGAGCAGGGTTAGAAAGGTTCTCTCTGAAATGTCACCACTAATAACCCGCAGAAGTCATTAGCCTGGGAGCAGAGCAAAGGTAAGTTCACTTGTGCTCCCTCTACCCTAGGAAAGTGCCACGGCTGGATAAGGCAAGGCTCCTGCTCGTTGTCACATCAGCCTCGCTGGGCTCTGATGCACAGGACAAAGACAATATGTTTTAATCTTCAAAGACCATGAAAACATTTCCCTGAAAGCTCATTCAGAACTTTGGATTTAAAACCTACTTCAATTTTTTTTTACTGTATTTGTGGTTTCTGAAGTAAGGGAAAAATGACGTAAATTATTCATGTTTCTCTGTCTTATACCATTAAAGAACTTACAGGGAAGAAAATATCCAAACATACAGCCAAGTAGAAACAACTCTAACTCCTTTCCATCAAGATTAAGTGATAGTACTTGTTTGACTTTGTTCAATTATCTTAAAGCGCTTTATAGATATGGTGACAGTTTATTGTTTTTCTCCATGTGTATATGTGTGTGGTGTGGTTGGTGTGTAGATACGCTCACGTGTGTAGAACCGTATCAGTGTGTGGGTGCGCATGCACATGTGTGCACGTGCAGAGGTCTGAGGCTCACATCAGCTGTCTTTCTCCACACTTTCCCCTTTATTTATGGCTCACCACCTCCAGTTAGCCGGGCTGGCCAGCTTGACCAAGGGTCTCCTGGACCATCTAAATGCTTCCGTATGCATTCTCAAAACTTAGGGCGCTAACTCCTTAATAACAACTGGAAATATGTTCTTCTACTGATTTATTGTATCAGTGGGAAAAATGAATAAAACAAATGTCCTTGCTGGATTTTGAATACAGCTGAAGAGAAAAGCAAGAATACAGAACTCATAGCAAACTTACCAGTTAGAATCAAGATAAATACCTACGTGTCTGTAAATGGCGGGCGTCACTCCTTGCCACAACTTTAGGAAGCCTTCCTCCTGGACAATCCCTAGGGCTGTGCGCACCATGCCCCTATAAGGGGCAGATTCCGCTGCACCATCTCCCAACCTAGCAACAGCAGCTTCTCCTTGCATCTGGAGTCGGGTTTTGGTGAGATCGAGGGGAAAGGTTGCTAATGAAATAAAAAACAAACGAAGGGGAGGAAAAACCCAAAACATTCAGACAAACAAACAAAACCTCTAAAATCATAGGATTAATATTCTCCCATGATTTGGAGATTCTGAAGTGTAAGAATATAGCAGAATCGGCCAGGGAATCTGTTAAGAAAATACACACTTTCTATCCCATTCCCAGGCATTCTGAATTAGTAGATGGGTAATTTAGAAAGTAGATTCTCATGTCTTGGCAAATCAAAGACTCACTGCCTAAGAGCATCCCAGAGCATCCCCAGATTAAAACTAAACCAAAATAATCCCACAAAGTAGGACCATCCTTGATCTCTTTTCAATAACAACATTCAATATTAAATCCGCTTCAATTTTCCCAATGAGAAATAGCTTATAGTAGTCATATTTTGCTGTGTCTTCTTGACCACAGCCACTATCGTTTGAGTTCTGCTACTAATTTAGAACAAACTTGAAGCCGAATTCTACGATGTCATGAGTGGTTTTCCAATGCGAACGAATCACAGAACTGATGTTTACGATGCAATGAAGCCAGAATGTCTTCATAAACGGACGTGGCAATGCTCAACATTCTTCAAAGTGAGGCAAATATTTAATTATATTTTCTGAATTGATAAGCTTTACACATAGTGCATTCATGAGTTCTTTGTAAGTCCCAACTTTATTCATTAGAAAAATGTGCTTACATGTCAAATTAGAAACAGATCGTTTTTATCTGAAAGCATACTTTAGCTACTCAACCTACATAAGGAAGATGAGATTTAAAATGTCACAATACAGTTTCCCAAATAACTCTAAGGGGGGTATGGAGACGAGCTTATGAACATCGTTGACAGTACATAAGATTTTCAGTGACGACTACCTGATCCTGAATCCATGAATACCTTTTCTAAGATGGAGGGGGATGAGTAGAGGGGGTGTTACATATTTCCTACTAGATTTTATACAGTTAGTATGTAACAATAATTTCCCTAAGCGGGTGTGTCTCGCATATACATACTTTAGGAAGTGTTTTATTGACACATAAAACTAAAAAAATAAAAATAAAAAGAGGTAGGAACTTCTATCTATGTACAAATTCTGCTTCCAAAAACATATTTTTGCTTTGTTTTGATTCTGGTTATTCCATAGTTCCGGCTCTCCTGCTGAACTGGTGCGTATGCCCCTTCACAATGAACTTTGGTCCCCTAGCCTCTGATCCCTAGTCTTCTAGCACCTTTCCCAGGAGTGCTCCTGGACAGGCCAGTGAGCTGCAGTGAGGAGCCAAGCTGCTAATGTATCTATCACTCGGCCATCTGACTTTCAATGTCTGTAAAAGTTGGTGAACTTTATTTCAGAAAGTGAACGATTAAAAAAAATGCTCTGCTGGCTGTGAGAGGAGAGAGACAGAGATGGGCTGGAGAGCAAGAAGGAAAGAGTCTGAAGGGCCAACAACGGAGAGTGCTGGCTGCACTAGACTGAAGGGAAATAAACCTCTGGAGAAGAAGACTAACATTTTCAAATGACTAATACACTATAGGCATCCTCCTTTCTTTCTTTTTTTAATGGACAAGAAAATGTAAGGGTAATCTGAAATTGCTTCACAGAGACCACAGTTTGAACTCACCCCACCCCTAACCCTGGCGAAATACCATCAGCTCATGCCAAGGTACCATAATCCACTCTAGGTGGTCTGTTCATTTTTTGTTATTATTTCTTTTGACTCATTTAGATGGATCTGTTTTTTTTTCTATGATGTTCTTACGAAACACAAAAATAGCTTCCCTTGCAACAAGCAGCAGTTGTAAATGTCTTTCTTTGAACGTGCCCCCACTGGCCTGGAAGAAGGCCACACAGGTGTCTTTGCAACTGTACAGCCAGGACCCACTACGGTATCGACTGTATTAATGACCCAGTTAAATAGCTACCTTGCCTTGCATTTACCATTTTTATAAAAATTACTCCTCAGAGTCCCTCCTGTAAGGTAAACAATATAGGGTCAATATGAGGTGGCCGGCTGACTTTAGACAGGTGTTCAGGAGGAATGGTTAATAACTGCAATCCTCCAGGTGCCCTCTCCCCCAACTCGAATCTTAAAAAAATTCTGAGGCTGCATAAGGGTATAAACCATGAAAAAAGACGATCCCAGAGATGATGAAATATATGTGGAACAAATGGATTATGATTCCAAAAAGGTCATCCTCACTAAAGGGGAAACGTTTCCTAAAGAGGTATGAGGACTCATGAAGAGCCCAAGAGTACTCACTCAGGCGTTAGACATCATCCCTCGGGATGGGAAGACAACCCTGGAAACCTCCAATCCATGCTTCTCCCGAAGCTGGCCTACTGGGCACCTGACCACATCCTTGCGAGGGTGCAACCTCTGAAGATGCTCCAGTGTGGAGCGGGGCTGCCCGCCCATCCCTCCCCCAGCGCGATGCCACGGCCACTCGCTGGGGAGACCGAGGCGGGGGCGGCTGGTACCTAGCTCGGCCACGGTTGCGGCGCAGCCGGACAGTAGGAACTTGCTCATCCGAGGCCATCTCTGCGTGAGCGGCAGCAGCGTCTCCTCCTTCTCGGGGACAGACATTCAGCAGCAGATCAGGACCACTGGGCACCCCTAGTCGCCTATGCACCTGCCACCCTGCGGGCGCCGCCCCTCTTCAGTTCAAGAGCGGTCGGGGAGGGACCATGTGTGCCTATAAGGTACAGCAAAGTCGCCTCCTGCTTAGTAGCTGGACCGGTCTTGGGGCCTCAGGTACTGAAAAACAAAGCAGAACCCAAGATGCTTCTGGGAAATGTAGTTCTTGGGACTCCAAGCCGCCTTTGATTGGCTGGCAGCTAGGCGCCCTCTGCAAACTGCCAGCAACTGGATAGCTAAGGCTTCAGCGTGTGTTCCCGCCCACCCGTCCCAACCGAGGCTGGTGTAGTTCCACTGATTGCTTTTTTTTTCCCCTACTGGCCGGAATTCTAAAGCAATGCGAAGGTGGAAAGGAGCCACAATGCAAAAATTGCACAAAAATTGGGGCGGGGCAAAGGAACTACAGTTGCGCGGTGGCCAAAGTTTCGGCTTAAAGTTTGGAACACCCGGTGCGTTTTCCTCAGTCTGCAGGGAAGGGGGAAATGCTCCGAGAGAAGGACGTTTTCAAACGTCTGTGATTCTGGAAGATGGGCGTCATGGAGTTCTTTTCACCAGTAGTAATCGCCGTCCTGGGAAGCTGTGTTCTTTTCTTATTCTTTCGGTGGAAGAATTTGCGTGGACCCCCGTGTATCCAGGGCTGGGTTCCCTGGATCGGAGCGGGATTTGAGTTTGGGAAAGCTCCTCTTGAATTTATAGAAAAAGCAAGAATCAAGGTATGTAGCTGTGCCTGGAGGTGGCGGTGGGGTTGGAGAGAGGTAGTATTTTATTTTCAAATTATGTTTTTATTAAGCGCAATGTTAGGACATTGGACATAAGCATACTCTGGCAGTTAATCCCGTCGGTTGTTTCTCTACACATGATCTTCAGCTATGTCCTAAGCAAAATATCAAGAAATGAAAGACAACACAACTTGTTGGAAGGAGAGATGTCTTTTGAGTGTTAGTAACTTCCTTGAGCTAATTCTAAGTGCGTGTTTATCAGCATACGGATATAAGCGCGTTGTACTTGGGGAAAATAAGTTTACATGACTCCGGTTTGTGAAAATGAGTAATAAATCTGTATCACAAATAAAGGTAACACTACGATTTTGTAAAACTTGTTTTGCTAAGTTGGTCTTTACAGATTCAAGGTTTGCCACTTTCTTTTTCACCACCCTCCCCCAGCTACTAGTTTTATTGATAATGAGTCCTTTCTTCCCATATACCCCGAGGAGATAACTAAGGACGCATTTCTAAAAGTTTTTGTCCTTAAAGCAGTTCTTGAATGTTGAGACTTTAAAAGAGACTCTTTTATTGGCTTTATTTTTTTTAAAAAAAAATTACTCATATTTTAGCTGCCAAGATCTTATTATTTTTGTGGTTGGGAGGGTGAAGTACTTTCTGCACAAGTCTGAGAACCTAAATTCAATCCTCATCTCCTATCTTTAAGGTGTATGTGTTGGGGGAGGGCTGGAGAAAGCAAACATGTGGATGGGAGAACATTCAGCAGTTAAGAGCACATACTGCCCTTGCAGAGGACCCAAATTCTGGTCCCAGCATCCACATTGGGTTGGATCCCAACCGCCTACAGCTCCAGCTTCAGAGGATCTAAAGCCTCTGTCCTCCCACAACATCCATGCACACACACATACTCATGTATAGAAACATATATGCATACAAATAAAATGAATCTTAATTTTTAAAAAAGCCTATGTGGCCAAATGCACCCCACATTCCTATGCGGGAGAGGCAAAGACTGGAGAATTCATGGAGCTCACGGATCAGCAAGTCTAGGCCAACCACCAAGCTCCAGGTTAGGAAGAGAACTTGTCTCAGAAAGTAAGGTGGAGGGCTGGCAAGATGGCTCAGTGGGTTAAAGTGCTTGCTACCAAGTCTAACATTTTGAAATAGATCTCCAGAACCTACATGGTGGAAGGAGAGAACCAAGGCCCTCAGGTTGTTCTCAGACTGACGTCACATGGATACATGCCCGTACACATATAAACACAATCCAATGTATGAGATATAATATTTCTTTATCATTAAGTGTTTCTCTCAGTCTGTGTGTGTACATCCACTTGTGTGCAGGAAGGAGCATGCAGAGTTCAAAGACTGATACGGGGTGTCTTCCTAATTCCCTTCTCTTCTACATTTTATTGGGACAAGGTCTCTGGATCTGGAGTGCATTCTTTTGGCTAGACTGGCAGGCTTGCAAGCCTCTGGGTACTGCTTGTCTCTTCCCCAGTGCTGAGGAGATAGAGATGTGAGCGTCTTATGCCTGGCTTTTTTTATGGGTTCTGGGGATTTGAACTCTGATCCTCATGTTTGCACAGCCAGCACTTTGTCCACTGAGCCATCTTTAATGGATGCATTAATCAAATAAGGATAGGATATTTGACTTAAATCCCAATAGTTGAGTTATACAGGTTGTCGCCTACTGCTTTCCATTGTTTCAACCAATACCTCAATGAATATTCTAATAATTTTGGTTGTGAGCCTAGCCTTTAATGGTTAAGCCATCTCTCCAGCTCTCAATGGATAGTTGTGTGTGTGTGTGTGTGTGTGTGTGTGTGTGGTTGTACATTTAAAGCTTATTTGACTATTTCCTCAGAACAAACTCCAAAAATAGATTTGTTTGGGGGCAAATGTATAATTAGATCAATTATGATTGTATTGTGTTATTTTACTGCTTTGAAAAAGATGTAATATATACTTTTGTTGTTGTTGTTGTTTTTTGAGACAGGGTTTCTCTGTGACTTTGGAGCCTGTCCTGGAACTAGCTCTGTAGACCAGGCTGGTCTCGAACTCACAGAGATCCGCCTGCCTCTGCCTCCCGAGTGCTGGGATTGAAGGCATGCACCACCACCGCCCGGCATAATATATACTTTTTAACCTTTGTTTTAGCACATAAATTTGCTTAACATATTAAATTCTGGGCCCTACTGGATAACGTATTTATATGAAACTCTTACTAGTCTGATACATGAAAGATGAAAAAGAATCTTTCCTAGAACAATATTTCTTTGTTTCCCACAGCTTTCCATGGTCATATGAGTTTAGTAATTTTTATGGAATGTTTGGCAAAGTTGTCTCAGATCAAGTGTGTGGGAGGCCTCTCTAGAGCCAACTGCTAGGTTACTTGACACAGTGTATGTGTGTAGTCTTTCCCTCGTACTCAATGACTATGGCTCCATTGTTTGATGTTTGAATCCTGAAGCCTACTTTCAAGGGTTATTGTTATCATATGGTCAGGATAATAAAAAGTGCACTGGAGACATTTAAACCATACAGGCTAAAAGTCCCAAGGCAGGAATGCACACAGTGAGACACAAAAGGAAAACCAAATGAACCAATGGCTCTTCTTCTTCTTCTTCTTCTTCTTCTTCTTCTTCTTCTTCTCCTTCCTCCTTCCTCCTCCTCCTTCCTCCTTCTTCCTCCTCCTTCCTCCTTCCTCCTTCCTCCTCCTCCTCCTCCTCCTCTTCCTCCTCCTCCTCCTCCTCCTCCTCCTCCTCCTCCTCCTCCTTCTTCTTCTGTTTTTTGAGACAGGGTTTCTCTGTGTTGCTTTGGAGCCTGTCCTGAAACTGGCTTTGTAGACCAGACTGGCCTTGAACTCACAGAGATGCGCCTGCCTCTGCCTCCCAAGTGCTGGGATTAAAGGCGTGCGCCACCACCTGGCCTGCTTCTTTGTTTTATACAGGCTACTGATCACTAAGTAGCCTAGGCTGGCCTTGAACTTGAGTCCTCCAGCCTGAGTACTCAGCCTTCTGAGGACTGAGATTCAGGTGTGCACAGCATGCCTTGCTCCCAGTCATCTTTCTCAGTCTACTTTCTCATTAGTTGCTTTCTCAGAGCAGGCAAGAAAGGCTCCATCGTGGAAATGCTAAACCTTTTACAGCCTCTTTGCATGTTTGTGACATCATCACAAGAGGATGTAATCTGCCTTTTCACAGCATCTGCAGCCAATTTTAACGCTTTGATAGGGAGTTGCATTTATCTGGAAACTGTATGGGAATGCATGGCTTTTTGGACCTTTGAGGAAGGACTGCCAGACATACATACTGAGCATCCCTTCAGCTCCTGGCTCTGAAGAAGACAGAGAAAGCTTCGGTGGCTGCAAAAGTCTTCCCTGTAGTTTGATTTAATCTTTGAATGGGTTATATATTAATATTGTTTAACATTTTAAAATATTGACTCTTGTGAGAGGCTTAGGAGACGGCTCAGGCAGAGAAATACCCAATGTGCAAGCATGAGACCCTGACACATGCCTGTGATCCCAGGGGAGGAAAGAGGGGCCCTGGGGCTCGCTGGCCAGCCTCTCTAGCCAGCCTCGGAGTTCCGGGTTCAGGAAGAGACTCCGTCTCAAGAAATCAGATGAGAGCAATGGTGGAAAACATCAATGTTGACCTCTGACCTCTATATGCTCACACCTCTGCAAACATACACACAAACATGCACACAACTATAGTGAAAACTGCTTCCGTCTCTATTCCACTTAACTCTCAATTATCACTGCCAAGCTCTACAGCACGAGTTCCTTTCTTACCTGTTCCCAGTAGCTGGAAATGGAGGTGGCTGTGGTTAGGAGTGCAGGCTGAGGGGCTCTGAGGGCTGGGGTGGGGCTTTAGTCTCTCTGGTGCACTCCCCGTTTTTCAAGGCCCCACTGAAGAAGAATTTCAGGGTGATGCACAGTGGAGCAAAAGTAGCGAGGCCGTGTTGTCTCCGTCAGCACACAAAGCAGACTCAGTGAGAACAAATAATCAAGCAAGAAGAGATAAGACACACTTGAAGGGAGTCACGTGTGGACGTAGGGAAGGAACCAGTGAAATGCATCAGCAGTGGCTCCAAATCGACGTGGTCTGTAACTGAGCTGCGCGATGGGGTGTGCTGTTGCTGGGTGCAATTTAGTTTTCTTAGCCATAAAATTATGACTTTGAAGAAGAAACTTCGAAGGTGCATTGCATACGTGTCAAGGTAGAGGAGGGAGTGTTAGAAATCAACCACTGGTCACAGGTCAGCCCCTTAGCTACATTAAACCATCTGGTGGGGATGGTTCTCAGAACTTGGAGTTTGTATGGGTGTTCAGAAAGGTTGGCACACAATTGCTGACCGTGTGGCTACACACGCGTGCTTAAACCTACAACAATGCTTATAATCACTCAAGCAAATATTTTGGTAAAAATATGACCAGATAGGTTTGATTATTTGCAAAGAGCCCCAAAATACTAATTGAAGTTATCAAAGATCCTAGGGGAGAGATTTCAGTGGTCATGGTAGAAGGTTGAAAAAGCTCACATAATCAAGATGTCATTTGTGTCCAAATTGAAGGCCAGGAGTGCTTTCAGATTCTCCAGGAGCCTTATTTTAGACTTTGTGAAGATTACTGTAAAACTTAGGTGGAAAGGCCAAGAGAATGGAGTCCCTAGGGCATGTTGGGAAGGAAAAGAATTTACCCAAGAGGAATTATTTCACTCAATTTCAAGGCTTATTAGTCGTTAAGACTGTGATGCCAACAGACGTGACTACTAAGACAGATGGAGCAGAGTAGGGTTAGGTCAGCCATCCACACAGGTGTGCTCAGCTGGCGTGTGACACAGACATAGAAGCAATGCCGTGGAGTAAAGACGGCTTTTCAAATGCCGGTGAAACAGTCCATGCTCATGAGCCCCAAGGAAATAAAAACGTAATAATTTGCAAAACAAAATAAGGAGCCACAACCCAAGATTCACGTCTTAGATGAGAAATTAACTCAAGGTGGATCCCAGTCTTCTCCAGAAACACAATTAACAAAAAGTTCAAGAAGAAGAGAATTTCCCCCTGGTGCGTCTAGGAAACACTTCTTTGATTGGCACTCAAAGTGCGGGCCGTAAAAGGAAGAGCAGATCAATTGAATTTTATGAAAATCAGGCATCTCTTCTCTGTGACAGAACACACAAGGAGGACAAAGAGAAGAACATCAGAATGGGATAAAGTATTTGCAAGCCCCGTACTCCACGGAGGAGCCGTGTGTAGCATGAGAAAGAACCATGGACACTCAAAAGCAAAGTACAATCCGATTAGGAAATGGATATGAGCATTACGTCCAGGCAGCAAACACACAAGGTTAGTGATAGTAACAGCCACTTGTGAAGAGAAACTGAGCCTGAAGACGCTTAACGTCCAACCTCTTTGGAAAATACTTCCGCAGTTTATTAATGGAACACACGGCTAATTGTGTAACTCAGCACTTAATATTTTTAGATATTTCTCCTGCCGAAATGGGAACTCAGGTTTACACTGTAACCTGGCCATGGCTTTAGAATCTCTTTTTACAATATCCTTGATCTAAGACTCCAAATGTCCTTCAGTGTTCTGTGGGATTCTGCTCAGAAATGTATAGACATGAAGCCTTGATAGCAGCCAGAATCCAGCTGACTCTCTGGAGAATGGTAACAATGGGAGAAGTCACCCCTAAGGGTTTGTGTGCAGCCTGATACTAAATTAAGACTAGGAGCTCAGAGGACAAACAAAAGAGAAACCTTGTGCTGTAGAGTCTGCATCCCCACCCTGAGTTTCACTATGCAGAATGCTACGGTGAGCTCTTTTAAGCAGCACCAGCATGAGTCGGCACTAATCTCAGTGGCTCTGTGTGGCTGAGCTTGGTATCCGCTTGAAGCCCCTAACTCACCAGGTTACAAGCCCCTGCTACTAGGAAGGCCAGTTTCCTAGTAGAAAGTTAAGAATACACATTTAAACACAACAGAGAGAATTACAATGACCTTAACAATTCTCATAACAATGAGAATGACTCCCTCTCTTTTAAGTATTGACTAGCAAACAATTGCCAGTAGGTATTATTGGGATGCAGTTTTGACATCTGGGTCATAGATGTGAGAAATAGGACGCAGTTGGTTTGTTGCTGTTGTTATTTGTTTGTTTTTGGTAGCCAGTGATTCTTGAACCTTCCTTTGCCTAGCAGTATCTGTCAGTCTTATCAAGAATGTAATGTGTGCCGATCTCATGATTAGTGCCAAAACGAGTAACATCGAAGCAGCGATGAGCGGAAATGATGTCTTGAGATACTTATGAGTCTCAAAATGGTATGCAAACGTGTGGCCATTTTCATGGTGTACAGTTTGTTGCCAGCGTTCGTAATGGATACTAGAGCATAACTAGAACGCTCTGAAAAATGGCATGTATTCACTCCAATAAGGCCAAAAAGTCTCTTCTCGTTTCATTCCTGTTGCCCTGCTAAAACATCAACTAACAGCAATTCAGAGGAGAAATGGGCTTGTTTGGCTTACACTTCCAAATTACAGTTCACCATTGATTGAAGCCATGGTAGGAACTCACAGGTAGACACCATGGAGGAACACTGCTTGCCCACTCTTGTTCGTCTTCTACAGCTTAGCAACACCTGCCGCCCATAATGGTCTGGGCCTTGCTGTATGATTGAAAAATTAGATAGCCCTCCTCCCCCAGCATGCCCACCAGCCATTATGGTCTAAGCAATCCCTCCATTGAGACTTCCTAGGCTGGGTCAAGTCCACAGTTAAAGCTAATTAGGGCAAATCCCAGAAGTCAAACCTCATGCTAGAGATGATGTGAGAGATAAGGAAAAGAATTGCTACTGCATCAGGAAGGATGGGTAGTTTGTGAAGTCTGACCTCTGATGCCAGGAGAAGAGGAGGGTCTCAGGAAGTCAGGCGGATGAAGAGAATGCCAGGAGCCCTAGACAGACAAGACATGCATTATGCACCAGCAAACAGGCTGCAAGGCAAGCAGACGCTGCCAGACAGCCAGGCAAATGCTAGCTCATGTAAATGTGTGCCTGCTTAGGCCGGCACATACTGGCACACATACACGCATACCAGCATGCAGGTTGCAAGTAGGCACGCGGACCTACACGGGGTCTGGTGAAGGCAAAAGGTGATTTGTCTGTGACCTCAAGGCCATATTTAGACAGACTCATACAAAGGTGACAATTTGCCAGAAATGGTTATAGAGCAGACTACATCATCACTTGCTTTGGGGCCTTCTGAACATCCAGTGTCAGTCAAGTTTTGCTGACTCATAGCCGCCTTATATCTAGCATTAGCCGTCTTGGCTGAGGCCTGGTATCTCCATGTCAGCATCATGATGTCTAAACATAAACAGGCCCTTAAGGCCTGTTCCCTTCAGCTTTGTGTACGTCTCTTGAGCAGTATTGAGCTGTATTTTACTTATAAGCTTCTTGATATCTTGAATATAAGGTTTCAAGAGCACTATGGTCATATATATTATTGTTTATTATTTTCTAATAACCAAGAAAGGAAAATAGACTATGCATCTTATTATGCACATTTTAGGAGAGAATGAAATAGGATTCATATAATTTAAATGTGACCCACAGAATTTCTAGGAACTACTAGGTGTAACTGTATTTACAAAACTGGGCCATTACTTCATTGGTATTCTTCTTTTATTCTTAAGTGTATATGCATGGTTTGTGTGTGTTCACACACTTGCATACATGTACACACATGTGTGCAGGTGCCTCTGAAGGCCAGAAGAGGGCATCGGATCCTCTGGAGTTATGTATATATGGCTGTTGAACTGTCCAATCTGGGTGCTTAAAGCTGAACTTCGTTCCTCTGTAAGGAGAGTACGTACACACCCTTAATCACTGAGCCATTGCTCCAATGTCATCATTGGTGTTCTGGAGGAAAACTGTTATGCATAATCCATGATTTAGAAATGCTTACTAATATATCTGGGTTTTGTGTTTTATTCTAGTATGGACCAATATATACCGTCTTTGCTATGGGAAAGCGAATGACCTTTGTTACTGAAGAAGAAGGAATCAATGTGTTTTTAAAATCTAAACATGTAGATTTTGAACTAGCTGTACAAAATCCTGTCTATAACGCAGGTAATCAATATTTTGGATAGTTTCCTTGAAGTATAACATCGAAACCCAAAAGTAATTTTGAGTAAAATTACATCCTCAGTCCTCTCTGAAGCGCAGCTGGGCGGCGGTGGTGGCACACGCCTTTAATCCCAGCACTCGGGAGGCAGAGACAGGTGGATCTCTGTGAGTTCGAGGCCAGCCTGGTCTACAAGAGCTAGTTCCAGGACAGGCACCAAAGCTACACAGAGAATTCAAGTTGTACTCTGCTTGTCCATAGTAGAGTTCCTCGGCTTAATAAGCAAGCCATAATTGTGACCTCTCCTGAGAGTGCCCATTGGGGCAATAATGCTAGCTGGGCTGGCTTCTCCTTTCTTACAGTCTCCGTCTGTCTTAGCCTGCTTGCGGTTACTGGAGACTGTGCTCCTGCTCTGCCTGGGTCTCCCTAGGTCCTGTGCCTAGACCATGCATCTTCCCTGAATGCCTGCCTGACTTCTTCTTGCCTTAGGTGCTAAGGTGTCCTTCTTCTGCCCGCCCCCCATCCCTTCGTAGAGTCTTATAATGTACTCTGTCATGCATTTCTTCGTATTAAGACAAAAATGTTTGAAAGCCTCTCAGAGATGAAAAGTTTAGCTATTTTAAGATCACAGTCTATTGGGTAAATTCACTGCTCTCTAGTGTTTGTTGATGTGTAAGCCATGGAGTTTCTGGTCAGTGAGTTTATTTTGAAGGCTATTGTTTTATACACTAACGTACTTCTTCAGTAAAAGTAACTAACTTACCTGCTAGAGGCATATGGATATTATGGGAATGTTTGCCTAGGGCTCTCCTGTGACCTCTTATGACATTTCTACTGAACAGATAAAATTTGTTAGCATTTCCTCTTCAGCCAGCTTCTTATCCTGACCAAACAGCCCCTACCATGTTCAAGAGATCAACATTTAATTTAAATCACTTTATACAAACTATAACTTGAACATAACAAAATCATAAAATACAAATTAGTTTTTAAAGGTTTTTTAAAAGATTCTTTTATTTGGTTAATCAAAATAGATAAACTAGATAATTTTTTTTTTAAAGAAAGTAGTCTAAAAAACCAAAACTCTTACCCCTACCCTGAATGAATCTGAGGTGATACTGTAGAGGGAAGAGGGAGATTTCTAGGAAGAAGTGTTCTGGAGTGGGGTCAGAGTTATTCTGCTGGAAGGAATGGTCAAGAAGATAACTAGGAGAGGAATTTGGGGGGTGTTGTTGTCTGTGTGTGTGTGTAGAAATGGGGTTTGGTTGGGGGAGTAGTGAATGGTCTAAGTGTGATTAATAGCTTCCAGAGTGCTGAGTTTAAAGACCCTCTGCGTTTTCTACACACCTTGAATGTAGATCTGGAGGTGGAAGGGGGTAAAAGTAGCAGCCCTCTCCCTCACTTATAGAGCATCTTGAGAACAGATCTACTGATTTCCTGTGCCGGGAGGACTTTGTCAATAGCCCCTCCTGGCTGATTCTGTGCTGCAAAGGGATTGTAGCTCATTTTGATACTTGTTCCCTCTGTCTTTAGCTTGGATTCCCAAGAATGTCTTTTTTTCACTGCATGAAAAACTGTATGTCTTGATGAAGGGGAAGATGGGTACTTTCAGCACACATCAGTTTACTGGGCAGCTGAGTGAGGCATTCCATGAACAACTGGAAGACTTAGGTGCCCGGGGGACAGTGGACCTGAATGACTTTGTAAGGTAAACAGTCGTTTTATTCTTCAAATAAAAACTTGGAGCTAATATATCGGATTTTGAAAGTCACCTGGCAAATTAATGTTTTCTATCTAACTAGGCTACTATGAGATTTTTTTTTTAAAAAAAAGCATTTAAATTCTAATTAAAAGGCACTTTCTAGTTTAGCATTCTCACTTTATAGTGAGCAAATAAACCAGAAGTCACTTGGCCGATGAAGAGCCATATTGTCTCCATGTGAGAAACTGAGTTACCAAAATACTTTCTCAACCCAATAGAACCCTAGGAGTACAAAGGCAGAGAGAGTGACCTAGGCGTGGAATAAGGTATGAACTCTCAAAGCCCCACCTCACAGTGATGTACTTTCTTTAGCAAGACTCCACCTCCATAACCTTCCCAAGCAGTGCCACCAGTGGAGACCAAGGATTCGAATACAGAAGCCTGTAGGGGACATTCTCATTTCATTCATGCCGAAACAGGTGATGTCAATAGATAACCCAGTAGGCAGTAGTTTGAATATGCAGACTTTTGTGAGAATTTAAGAAAGGAATGATTACTGTTACCCCCTTTTATTCCTAGTTTATTTGCCGCTACGTTCAAAGACCTGAGTGGTGTCCTAGCTGTTACCATTTTCTAAATAAATTCCCAATGAGTGACATTCATTCAGCTTATTGTTTTGAATTTTTTATGGGTCTAAGGTGCTTCCTTAGAATGGATTTTTACATTTTCAGGGCTGGAGAGAGGGCTCAGTAGTTAAGAGCACACACACTCTTCCCCAGGACCCAAGTGTGGTTCCCAGCACATATATTACACAGCTAACAGTTGTCTATAACCCCAGTGCCAGGGAGATCCAATTTCTGATTGTCAGAGGCACCTCCATTCACCAATCCATACAGAGACACATGTACACACATAATTCAAAACAAAGTTTTGTTTGTTGTCTTGTTTTTAAGAAAGGATTTTTAAAATATCTTTAGATAAACAGAATCACGTTTCAGTCGTCCTTGAATGGCAGCTTGATTTCCAGCAGCAGACGGTAAAACTTAAGAATGACTTTTCCCCAAAGTTGTGTCCCATTATCCACTGCTCAGCTGTCATTTTAAGGCAATTCTGTCTTTGTATATAAAGTTTTTATTGGTTACTCGGTTGACTTCCTGAGCGTCTTTGTCTTTGCAGGCATCTTCTTTATCCAGCCACGGTCAATACTCTCTTTAAGAAAGGGTTGTTTCCCACAGACGAGAGGAAAATCAAGGAGTTCTACCAGCATTTTAAAACTTACGATGAGGGTTTTGAGTATGGATCCCAGCTACCGGAATGGCTCCTGAGGTAGGGTGGCCTTCTGTAATTGATGAGTTTTCTCTTTTCAGCAACATCTATCTATAGCTAACCTCCATCTCACTCTCGCTTTCATATGTGTGTGCACAGGTGTGCCCCGTATGAGTGGAGGCCAGAGGGTGATATCAGGTGGCCTGATTTATCCTTCTGCACCGCAGGTTTTGACACAAGACTGATCCCCAAGAGCTAACCATTTTGTCTAGGCTGGCTGATGACCGAGGCCCAGCATTCCCCATTGCTGTGTGGGATTGCACGTGCACACTGCCGTGCTGGCTTTCACGTGGGTGATGGTCATCTGTATGCAGGTCCTTGGGCTTGCACAACACGTGTTTTACCTTCTCAACAGCCTTCCTAGCTCCCATCTCTCTAATTTATTTATTTATTTTATGCTTTATTTTTATTTCATATGCGTATATGTGTGTAGGATGTAGGTGCGTGTGTTGGGTGAGTAGTGTGCTTGCCGTAGTGAATGAGTGGAGTTCAGAGGAAACTGGGCTTTGGCACTTGCTTCCCACCTTGTTTTAGACAGGGCCTAAAACATTCCAGGTTAGTTGGCCAAGCTACTAGGGTTTCGGTTGTCTCCATCTGGAGACTCAGACTCCTCTGGTCTCCCAATACTGTGTGGCAAGTGCTTTGTCCACTAGGTCGTATTCCAGCCGCATTTCTTTTTCTTCAGCAGGATAGCATCAGCTGAGATGGAAGGAAGCTGTTTCTATGACTTTTTAAAAAAATCGGTGGTGGCAGGCCGTGTGGTGTTCTCACTGTGTAGCCCATGCTGGCCCTGGAACTCATGGCCTCAGCCTCCAGGTTGCTGGCATTGCAAGAGTGCTCTGTAGCCTGCTTATTTTAGTGTGCACATGTGAAGTGAAGGAGGAACAAAAGAGATAGACTTCTTCCTTCCTTCTCTCTGTTCTTTCTTCCTCCTTCCTGTCTCCCTCCGTCCCCATCTTCCCTATCCCTTCCTTTCTGAAAAACAGTGTGTGTGTGTGTGTGTGTGTGTGTGTGTGTGTGTGTGAGAGAGAGAGAGAGAGAGAGAGAGAGAGAGAGAGAGAGAGATTGAGACATGTTATAAAGTATCTGAGGCTCTTTTGAAGTACACTGTATCATTGCTGAATTGATTCTGTTTGAATCCTTGCGGAATCAGCCCGCTTCTCCGTAAGGTGTGAGTAGGTGGTGATCAAATGCATTTGTTACCATTGGCTCAGATAAATATTTGTAGAATGCAGTGAGAAGCAACTGAATTTTAAAAGGTTCTTGGAGTTGCTCTATGTTTTATTCTATTTGGACAGTTATGGTGGCATAGATGGGTAACTTAAAAACAATAATTTTTTCCCCCCATAGTTTGGAGACTGAGGGTACCAGTAGGGTGGTTAATGAGGAGGGCTTCCTTTTGATGACAGACTGTCAGCTTCTGACTGTGCCTTCAGAGTGGAAGAGGCAATCAAGTGCTTTCTGGGGTTTTATAATAACACTAATCCCGTTGATAAAGGGTTCACCCTGTCATGCAATTATTGTCTTTAATGCCCTGTTCCCTAATGCGATCACCTCCGGGTTGAGAATTTCAGCATTGATTTTGCAGCGCACCCAGCTCTTTAGCCGTGGATGCTGGTAATGGTCAGACAAGAATAAAGTGACGATAACCAATGGGCTTTGTTTAGCTGGACCAGCATCTGGTCTCTATGCTGTGCTTTCCCCTGTCACTCTTAGGATAGGCACAGTGAAATGAACCAAGCAATTGACACGCCCTTTCTCCTTCAGTGACAGCCTAGTAGGAATCACAATAGCTATTTACAAAGACACTAAAATTCGTTTTCTTATCGCCTCAGCTTTACCTGTGAACTAATAATTCAGAAGTGGACCTCTGTGGAAATTCTAACTGGAAACAGAGATGAAATTTGAGGAAATTATTCTACTATAAGAAACATTCTTTAGTTCTTAAAAAGTATATAAGTTATTTACTTCATGTGCATTGGTATTTCACTTGCATGCATGTCTGTGTGAGGGAGTCGGATCCCCGGAACTGGAGTTACAGACAGGTGTGAGCTGCCATGTAGGTGCTGGGAATTGAACCTGGGTCCTCTGAAAGAGCAGCCTGTGCTCTTAGCCGCTGAGCCATCTCTCTAGCCCCAACATCCTCTCCTTTGATGTCATAATCTGTGACCCTAACCCTTGCAAATCACTGATTTTATGGTTTTTTGTTTTGCTTTTAATGCAGAAACTGGTCAAAGTCCAAAAGATGGCTCTTGACACTGTTTGAGAAAAGCAATGATGAAATCAAAGCTCACGAGTCAGTAGCAGGCCATTCCAGGGTAGGTATCTCTTCCTTCACTAAGATATGTATAATGAGCATGGGACGAAACAGTGATTATTACAAAACATTTCTTAGCCAGGAAATGTGTGTGATTGGATATAATTTTAATACCAAGTGATAGACTAGGCCTGCTTATATACATTATTTTAATATCATGGCCTCATAGCATCAAAGCATTCTGTTCTATAGGGTTGCAAAATGGATGCTACAAATAACAAAATAAGATGAAACTTGTGAGTTTTTTTTTATTTTATTTTGTTTTGTTTTCACACAGTTGACTGTGTCAAAGGACAGACGTACAATTTAAAGGTCTTTGTTGCTTTACAGCGTAGTTCTCGGATTAGGCCACTTCCCTTTCCATCTTCCCATACAACAAATAAAATGTTTTCATAGCCTGAGCTGAACAGCTTTGTTGAAAAAAAAAAAACAAAAAACAAAAACAAAAAAACCAAAACAACTACGTCAGGGATCTCAACCTGCGGGTCATGACCATCAGAAAGCACATATTTCTGATGGTCTTAGGAGCCCCCAATCATGAATTTATTTTTGTTGCTACTTCATAACTGTAATTTTGCTACTAAGCAGTATCTCATACTAAGACCATTGGAAATACCTGCTTTCCAGTGGTTACCCACAGGTGGAGAACTGCTGGGTAGAGAACTATGGAAGTCAGAAAAGAAAGTTCCTGTTTAAGACTAAGGACAAGACAACAAAGCTACAACCGATAGGTTAAAATTGGGTGATTCTGGTTTCTTAAGGAGATAAGGAATAAGTGATTCAGGGTTTTTGTCATTGCTCTTGATCTGTTTGGGCAACATCAGCTCCCCACTTGTCCCCTGGCTTCTGAGAAAGTCACATAGAATGTCTTCAGTCTTAAGTAACTTAGCTGCCATCCAATGCCACAGGGCTTTTGTTTGAGCAATGCCATATTGATTTTTTTTGTTGTTGTGGATTAGTTGTAGGTGACCATCCTTATTCACCAGGCCAAGGTCACCTGATATGTCCTTGAGGAATGAAACCAGACCAGTTGGAGGGTCCACAGTAAAACATATATATATATATATATTTGTGTGTATACACACACACACACACGCGCGCAGAGAACACATATTAACTTAAAAACTGGACCTAAAGATGGGCAGTCCCAGCTACTTAGGAGGCTTGGGCAGGAGAATGGCAAGTTCAAGGCCTGCCTTGACTAGTGAGACTGTCTCAAAATAAAGAGAAGTCTGTGGATGTGCTCAGTGATGGGGTGATTCCTTAGCATGTGCGTTTCAATCTCTAGTACCAAAACCAACCAAACAAAAACCCCACTTCAAATATTTTAGCATTTAAAAATGTTACAGAAACATTTTAGTTGTGGCACTGGTGGCGGGAACCACAGAGGAGCTGCTTCAACTTGCTGAAGGCTCTGATCGTTCACAGGCGTAGGCTTCATCCACGGTGACCTGAGCCCCCTACAGAAGTTAACACGGTCAAGACAATCCCTCACAGACACCTGGACCAGCTAGACGTGCTGTAGAGCTGCAGAAAATGAAATCCATAATTAGAACGACCAGTTTTGCTATTCTTCTGGACATGATAGACAATGGCACACCAGCTAATATTCAGAAGGCAGTTATGATGTACAAAGCCATTTCTTGTCTCTTGTGACAACTGTAATACCAAGAAGATGATTGGCAGGGCTAATCTGGAAGACTAGCATGCTTCATTAGCAGCAAGTGACACCAGCAACTCCATTTTCGTCCTGCCTGCATGTGCATTTCTTTCACACTAGCTTGGTTGTGCTTTTTCCTCATGTGTACCGAATGTGACTAATACTAGCTGCTTCAGGGCTAATATATCGATGAGCTAAACACCCGTGAAGATGTTAAAATTACGCCGTCCCAAGGCAAGTAGGGGATGGATCCTAGAGTCCATCTTGTTTTCCTGTCACCTTACTGAGTTAAGATTGAAAGCACATCCAGTACCTGAGTGTCTGCCCCCTGGTGGCGAAGCAACCATGGGCAAAGGCCAACTGAGAAGCCCCCTGATTGCGGTCATGTGGGAAAACCACCAGAGTAGGTAGATGATGCTGTGCTCTGAGTTGGTGCCATTTAAGTCAGAACATCTGGGTTTTCCCAGGAGCTTGAACTGAGCTCCTCACATATGCTGGGCAAGTCTTCTGCTTCCCAGATATATCTCTAGCTCTCCTTTTTACTTTTGAGAAAGAATTTTACTAAGCCAACAGAGCTGGTCTTAGACCCACTTTAGAGACCAAACATACTTTGAGCTTGAAATTCTTCTTTCCCAACCTTCCAAGTTGCTTGATTATAACCCTGTACCACCATGCCTCACTACTTAATTTTCTTATGAGCAGAGGTTTGCTTATGTTAAAAGGGTAACATTTGAGTTGAGTATGTTGCTCAGCTCGTAGAATGCTTGCCTGGTATGCAGGAGGACCTGATTTCAATCTCTAACATTGTGTATAATAATAATAATAATAATAATAATAATAATAATAGTAATAATAGTAACAGATGGGTGTGGTGGTGCATGCCTTTAATCCTGATATTTGGAAGGTAGAGGCAGGAAGATCTTTGTGAGTTCAAGGCTAGTCTCAGGTACATAGTGAGTTCCAGGTCAACCAGGCCTACATAGTGAGACTCTCACACACGCTATTTATGAATGTAACCAATCAATGCTCAGCAAAAAAAACCAAAAACAAAAGCCAATGTTGTTCCTGGGTGTAGCTCAGTTAGAAAGTACTGGCCTAGCATGCATAACACCCCAGGTACATCCCCAGTACTGAATAAACCAGGTGTGCTGGTATGGTACATTCTTGCAATCTCAGCACTAAGAAGGGAGAGGTCAGAGGTCAGGAGCTCAAGGCCATCTTAAGCTACAGAGAATGTTGATTTTGTTTCAAGTATTTTATCAGCAACTGTACTAATATTCAACTCTCAAAATTTTATGAGGTCGGTACCATATCAAGGCCATCTTGTGGATGAGGAAATTCAATCACTGGAATAGTCAAGTGATTTATACAGGATCATTCGTTTCCCTAATAGTGAAGCCACAAGACAGAAATTCAGCTACACTCCCCTGGAGTTCCTGTTCCCCATTCCCATACTCCCACCCAGTGTAGAGGGCCTTAGCATGCCTCAGACTGCAAGCCTGTGAACAGCAGACACATTTCTCCTGGGTTAAAGACAAACGAACAGCTCCAGGATCATGACTCAGTCGAGGCAGAGTGCCTCATGAACAAGCTGAAGAGCTGAGGTTCAGATCCCCAGAACCCACACAAAAATCTGGGTGTAGTGACACATGCCTGTAACCCCTACTCTGGGCAAACAGAGATAGATTCCTGAAACTCATTGGCTAGCCCAGCTAGCTGAACCGAGAAGGTTCAGGTTCTGTAAGAGGGTGGAGGGGGATGGAGGAAAGACAGCCAGTGTTGACCTCTGGCCCCTTGTGCGCATGCACGTGTACACAGCCACACTGTTAAGTACATGCAGCACTCGCAGGGTGACCTCTTGTTTATGGGCGTCAGTCCTCCTCACATCTCTGTGGCCTCACAGTCATTTCCTTCACACAGACCCTCGTGCAGGCCGTTCTGGATGTTGTGGAGACAGAATCACGTCAACATAGTCCAAATTACGGACTTTTGATGCTTTGGGCTTCTCTGGCCAATGCTGCTCCCGTAAGTACGCGGGAGACAACGGGGCTCACTTCCTTCCTTTTTTTTTTTTTTGTTTGTTCTTTTGCCTTATTTTTTCTTTCTCTTGGTCTTTAGTTCTTCACTTAATTTCATGAACAAAAAGATTAGCAGTGGATTGTGATGTAAGATAAAAAGCAAAAGTGAATGCTTGATAGAATCCACCGAGGTGACTCCGTGGATGAAATGCTTGCCTCACAAACTACAGATGCTGAGTTCATAAATGCTGCTGGATGTGACAGGCTGCCTAAAATCCCACAGCTGGAGAGGTGGAGACCAGGGTACTGTGGGGCAAGCCGGCCAGCTAAACTAACCTGATCAGTGAGCTCTGGGTTCAGTGAGATCCCCTGTCTCAGTGAATAATGCAAGGAATGTAACAAACACCAACCTCTGACCTCTACAGGCAGGAGCATCTGCATACATGCCTGTACACACTTCTGCAAAAACATTCATGCATACATACTAGGTGCATGCGCGTGTGCATGCGTGTGTGCAGAAACACACAGTACTCACATATACATCAAGTACCCCACCCTCCCAAAAAATTCCTCCTTAAAATACTAAGGAGGCAAAGCCTAGATCCAGAGAGAATTCTGCCCCCTGACATGCTTGCCCTTTGGGACCCCGGTGTGTCATTTAAGGGGCTCTGACTCTGTCAGGCTGTGTGCTCTGGGTGCTGCACAGCTCAACAAAGCCTAGGTCGGGAGTACGGCAACTGATGGTTTTAGATGGAGCTGCTCATCTCAGCCCCAGTGGCCGTCCCTTAAAATCTCCATGCCTCCATTTCCTCTGCAGGAAGTTAGGGAAGGAAGGGAGAAGGGAGGGAGAGAATATGAATATGAATGTAAAATTCCTGACATGATCCTAGGCAGGGGTTGCTCATTTCCCTACAGTCTCTGTGAGATCCAGCCAGATGCTCTAGTCATGTCAGTGAATGTGAGCTTCCCCTCCTCCCGGGTACCAGTGCATCTGAATTTCTTGGCCTGTTGGTTCTCCAAGCTTCTCTGAATGGGGCTTATGACATTGAAATGCATTGCACTAAAGATAACAGGGACCTTTAAAACCCATTTATTTTTATATACTCATTTTTAATTGATTAATTAATTTAGTTTTTTGTTTGTTTTGAGGCAGTCTTGCTATGTAGCCTCAGGCTGTCCTTAAACTTTCAATCTCAAGTGCTGGGTTATAGACATGACACACAGTGATGGGCAACTGTTTCTCATTATAAATTTTCTTTAACTAAGTAAACAAAATATTGGGTTTCTTTAGGACATCTTTATCCATGTGTATCATTGAACTTGGCTCATGGTTACCCTCATTACCTCCTTTGTCTTCCCTAACTCCTGTTTATTTCCTTCCTTCTTCCCAAATATAGTCCCTCAACTGCATCCATGGTGTGTGTGTGTGTGTGTGTGTGTGTGTGTGTGTGTGTGTGTGTGATTTTAAAGCTACTATGAACGTGGTGAAAGCCAGGAGATTTGTGTGTATGAGTCTCTGTTTAGTCTGCTCTAATTCCCTGGTCAGCACACTGTTTCATTAACCCAAGCTGTTCCTTATGTTGGTGGAAGTGGAAGGACAGCTGTCTATGTATCTCTGATGAAACAGGAAATCTTAGCTCTTCTCTGGTAAGTGTGGTCATTTTCTTTTTCTCTAACAACTAGAATTAGTATTACACATTTCTCTTTCTTGTTTCTGATGGCCTAGGTGGCTAGATGATTTCTCAGTCTCAATAACTTTGCTTTTTTAAACCTCTTGTAAAGAACAGAGATAGATATTCTGGCCTTTCTGCTCCAACAGATGCCTCCCAAGAGAATCTATTTCACCAGTGCTTGTCAAGTGAAGCGCCCCATGCCTCCCCCTTCCTCTGTATGTTCTCATAGTCTTCTCTGCCTCTTCTCTAATTGATTGAACTACAGCAAAACTGAAGAGCAGCTTCCCAAACATGCACACAGCAGCCACAGTCAGAGCGCTAGTTCTCAGGATCTCTCCAGAAAGGTCCCCTGAAGGAAACCACACAAAGCACCATTGAGCGGACACAGTGGTCAGTTCTTTGTGGTTGACCCTGGCACTGGTCTGAAAGGACGTGTCTGATGAGGACCGAAAGCTTCATCTTGCTAGATCATCCTTGTTGGCACCTCCAAGAGGCAGGGTGAAACAAGAGCAGAGAGGAGACCTGGGAAAGGCCTTCTCATCAGATCCGAAGCCAGTTCCCATGGCTGGGCAACAGAGGGCTAGCAATTCCGTCCACCTCTCCCAGTCTGTGTCCATGTCCTCATCTGAACTGTCTCCAAGAATGGTAGGGAGTATTTAGCTGGAATTAATGAAAAGTGCCTAACAACACTCATGCTCAATAAATAATGTGTGTGCCGTACATAAAAACACCTCCCTCGTGGAAATCAATGCCTTCGTTCAATGGCCCATTAATAATGAATGTAGACTGCTGTGGGTCTCAGATGCCCTACACCTCAATGGCCAGGTTGGGCATGACTCTACTGTTCTGGCTTTTAGGATCACTCATTGCTGACAAAACCCTAAGAGCTGTAAGTGCTGGGCAGGTCGCTCAGGCCCACATGAGTCAGTACTTTCTTCTCGCCTCCCTTGAAGCCCAGGGGACCCAGAATCTATGCTTTAGATGGGGTTATTAGCAGCTCACCAGGAGGCTCTGTTGTGGCTGAGGTGTGCTTTGATAGACCACTGCAAGATATTTGCCATACTTCATGAGATTGTTTTAGTGGAAAAATCATTTCCTAGTCCTAAGAAGTTCCTGACTGGCAAATGAACTTTCCAGAACATTTCTCAGCTCTATCAAAGCCGACTTTTGCCATTTTTTAAATCTTTTTATTTTACACATATTTAAAAGTTTTTTTTTTCATTTTGCATACCAACCACAGTTCCCCCCTCCCCTCTTCCTGCTCTCCCCTGCCCCCCAGCCTTCATCTTAGCTGGGGTCTTTCTTGTGGACTCCTGGGAGTTTCCCTAGCACCAGGTTTCTCCCTAACCTATTAATGGCTCACTCAATCAAGATATTTCTTTCCTTGCTTTCCTTCTCTGTTCCTCCCCCCAACTCAACCATTCTGTTCCCCCATGTACTCCTCTCCCTTTTTACCCCCCTCCCCCAATTTACACAGGATATCTTATCTATTTCCCCTTTCCAGGGGCATCCATGCATGTCTATTTCTCTTAGGGTCCTTTTTGTTACCTAACTTCTCAGGGGTTGTGGATTGTAGCCTGGTTATCCTTTTCTTTATGTCTAATATCCTCTTATGAGTGAGTACGTGCCATGTTTGTCTTTCTGGGTCTGGTTTATGTCACCCAGGATGTTTTTTTTTTCTAGTTCCATTCATTTTCTTGCAAATTTTAAGGTGCATTGTTTTTTTTTCTACTGAGCAGCGCTCCATTGTGTAAATGTACCACATTTTCTTTATCCTTTCTTCAGGTGAGGAACATCTAGGTTGTCTCCAGGTTCTAGCTATTATGAACACAGTTGAGCAAATGTCTTTGTAATGTGAATGTGTATCCTTTAATCATATGCCCAATAATGGAATTGGTTGGTCTTAAGGTAGGTGAATTCCCAATTTTCTGAGAAACTGCCATACAAAAGTACCAGTTTGCATTCCCACGAAAAATGGAGGAGTGTTCCCCTTTACTCCACATCCTCTCCAGCATAAGTTGTCTTCAGTGTTTTTGATCTTGGCCATTCTGACTGTGTAAGATGATATCTCTGAGTTGTTTTGATTTGCATTTTCCCGATGACTAATGATGTTAAGCAATTCTTTAAGTGTATTTCAGCCATTGGAGATTCTTCTGTTGAGAATTAGATCTTCACCTCATTGTTTAAATTGGATTATTTGGTATTTTGATGCATAGTTTCTTGATTTCTTTATTTAGTTTGGAGATCAGCCTTCTGTCAGATGTGGGGCTGGTGAAGATCTTTTCCCTTTCTTTAGGCTGCCGTTTTGTGTTATTGACTGTGTCTTTTGCCTTACAGAAGCTTCTCAGTTTCTGGAGATCCCTTTTATTAATTGCTTTCAGTGTCTGTGCTACTGGTATTATATTTAGGAAGTGGTCTCCTACTTCCCACTTTCTTTTCAATCAAGTTCAGTGTAGCTGGGTTTATGTTGAGGTCATTGATCTTCTTAGACTTGGGTTTTGTGCATGGCAGTAGATATGGATCTATTTGCATTCTTCTACATGTACACATCCAGTTATGCCAGCACCATTTATTGAAGAAGTTTTCTTTTTTCTATTGTACAATTTTGACTTCTTTGTCAAAAATCAGGTGTTCATAGGTGTGTGGATTAATGTCAGGGTATTGAATCCGATTCCACAGATACATGTGTCTATTTTTATGTCTATACCAAGCTGTTTTTTATTATTATAGTTTTATAGTATAACTTGAAGTCAGGAATGGTAATGCCTCCAAAGGTTCCTTTATTGTACAGGATTATTTTGTCTATCCTGGGTATTTGGCTTTTCTGTATGAAGTTGAGTATTGTTCTTTCGAGGTCTGTGAAGAATTGTGATGGGATTTTGATGGGGATTACATTACATCTGTAGATGACTTTTGATAAGATTGCCGTTTTTACTATGTTGATCCTACCTATCCAAGAGCCTGGGAGATCTTTTCATTTTCTGATAACTTCTTCAATTTCTTTCTTCAGAGACTTAAAGTTCATGTTGTGCTCGTCTTTCACTTGTTTGAGTAGAGTTACTTCAAGATAGTTTATGTTATTTGTGGCTTTCATAAAGGGTGATGTTTCCCTGATTTCTTTTTCAGCTCATTTACCATTTGTTTATAGGAGGGCTACTGAATTTTTAGAGTTAATCTTGCATCCTTCCACCTTACTGAAGGTGTTTATCACCTGTAGGAGTTCTCTGGTAGAATTTTTTGGAATCACTTATATAAACTATCATATCGTCTGTAAATAGTGAAAGTTTAACTTCTTCCTTTCCAATTTGTATCCCCTTGATCTCCTTTTATTTTGGTCTTATTGCTCTAGCCAGAACTTCAAGTACTATATTGAATATATATGGAGAGAGTATTTTTCCTGATTTTAGTGGAATCGTTTTGAGCTTCTCTCCATTTAGTTTGATGTTGGCTGTTGGCTTGCTGTATATTGCCTTAATTATGTTTAGGCATGTTTCTTGTATCCCTGATCTCCAAAACCTTTATCATGAAGGGGTATTGGATTTTGTCAAATGCTTTTTCAGCCTCTAAAGAGATGACCATGTGGTTTTCTTTCAGTTTGCTTTTTTACATTGACAGATTTTTGTATGTTGTACTGTCCCTGCATCTTTGGTGGATGATTTTTCTGATGTGTTCTTGGATTCGGTTTGTCAGTGTTTTTCTTTTTGCATAAATGTTCATAAATAGGTCTGCAATTCTCTTTTTAAGTTGTGTCTTAAAAAGTTGTGTAGTTTGCGTATCAGGGTAACTGTAGCCTCATAAAAAGAGTTTGTCAATGTTCCTTCTGTTTTTATTGTGTGGAACAATTTGAGGAGTTTCGGTATTAGTTCTTCTTTGAACTCCTGGTAGAATTCTGTGATGAAACCATCTGGTCCTGGCCTTTTTTTTTTTTTGTTAGGAGACTTTGATGACTGTTTCTATTTCTTTAGCAGTTATAGATCTACTTAATTTGTGTATTTGGTTTTGATTTAATTTTGGTAAGTCATACCTATCCAGAAAATTGTTCATTTCTTTTAGGTTTTCCAATTTTGTGGAGTACAGATTTTTGAAATATGACCTAATGATTCTCTGGATTTCCTCAGCATTTGTTGTTATGTCCCCCTTTTCATTTTTGATTTTGTTAATTTGGATATTCTCTCTCTGCCTTTTGGTTAGTTTGGATAAAGTTTTGTCTATCTTACTGATTTTTCTCAAAGAACCAACACTTTGATTCATTGAATGTTTGTATTGTTCTCTTTGTTTCTCTTTTATGGATTTCAGTCCTCAGTTTGATTATTTCCTGCTGTCTACTCCTGGATGAGTTTGCTTCTTTTTGTTCTAGAGCTTTCAGGTGTGGTGTTAAGTCGCTAGTGTGAGGTTTCTCCAAATTCTTTATGTGGGCACTTAGTACTATGAATTTTCCTCTTAGCACTGCTTTCCTAGTTTCCCATAAATTTGGGTATGTTGTGCCTTCATTTCTGTTGAATCATAGGAAATCTTTAGTTTCTTTCTTTATTTCTTTCTTGACCCAGTGGTGATTTAGTTGAATGTTGTTTAGTTTCCATGAGATTGTAAGCTTTCTGTATTTTGTGTTGTTGTTAAATTCTAACTTTAAGCCATAGTGATCTGATAAGATACAGGGGCTTATTCTAATTTTTTTGTATCTGTTGAGATTTGCTTTATGACTGAGTGTGTGGTCAGTTTTAGAGAAGGTTCCATGAGGTGCTAAGAAGAAGGTATGTTTTTCTGTGTTTGGGTGAAATATTTTATAGATGTCTGTTAAGTCCATTTGAGCCATAAAGTCTGCTAGTTACCTTATTTCTCTGTTAATTTTCTGTTTGGCAGACCTGTTCATTGGTAAGAGTGGGGTGTTGAATTCTCCTACCATTAGTGTGTGGGGTTTGATGTGTACTTTAAGCTTTAGTAATTTTCTTTTACAGATGTGGGTGTCTTTGTATTTGGGGCATAAATGTTCAGAATTGAGACTTCTCTTGATGGATTTTTCGTGTGATGAATATGAAATGTTCTTCATCTCTTTTGATTACTTTTAATTTGAAGTCTATTTTGTCAGATATTAGTTTAACTACACCAGCTTGTTTCTTAGGTCCATTTGATTTGAGAATCTTTTTCTAATCTTTTACTCTAAGGTAATGTCTGTCTTTGAAGTTGAGGTGTGTTTCTTGTATGTAGCAGAAGGATGAGTCCTGTTTTTGTATCCCTTGTGTTAGCCTGTGTCTTTTTATAGGCAAGTTGAATCCACTGATATTAAGGGATATTAATGACCAGTGATTGTTAATGCCTGTTATTTTCTGGTTTTGTTGTTGTTGGTAGTAGTGTGTGTTTCCTTTCTTTGGGATTTTCTGGTGTGAGATTGTCTGTTGCCTGTGATTTTGTGGGTGTAACTAACTTCGTTGTATTGTTGTTTTCCTTCTAGGACTTTCTGTGGGGTTCAATTTATGGTTAGGTATTATTTAAATCTGGTTTTGTCATGGAATATCTTGCTTTCTCTGTCTTTGGTAATTGAAAGCTTCACTGGATACAATAGTCTGTGCTTGCATCTGTGGTCTTTTACTACTTGCAAAATATCTGTCCAGGACCTTCTGACCTTATGTGTCTCCAAAGAGAAGTCGGGCATAATTCTGACAGGTTTGCCTTTATGATACCTGGCCTTTTTCTTTTGGAGATCTTAATATTCTTTATTTATTTAGTATGTTTGGTGTTTTGATTATTATGTGGTGAGGGGATTATGATGATGGGGCTGGGATGGTTGTAAGAGGTGCCGACTTTTGCCATTTTTATCTGCTGCTTCTCTGAAGTTGTGACGATGCTGAATGGGCACCATGGCCTCATTCTGCTTGGAGTTATTATATACAATGGCACTTGTGTAGCTTTGCATAGTGACCTCTCCCCCCTTCTCCAGCTGGGTGTATCACAATCTCTGTCTAAATGTGAAGCTCTTTGTCCAGAAATTGCTTAATATGTATTTGCGTTTGCCATGATTGATACATTATCTGGGATTTTATAGAGATTTTTTTCTTTCTTGTTTGAAAAATGACCTATGATATCCATCACTTTGAACTTTAAATGAGTATATTTTTTAAGTATTTAACAAGCCAAAGTAAAAGAAGTGATGAATAGATGATGGATGGATAGATGGATGGATGGATGGATGGATATATCGAAAAACACCATCAATTGGCACCTAAAACATCCAGCAGAAATTAACTGGGAAAATATTTTAAGAGAGTTCTAGATCCCCATAGAGAGAGTCTCAGCCAGAGCAGTGTCCCCTCTGGTGATACTTCCAAGTAAAAGAACAAGCAGCAACACAGAGAGACGGCATCACCAAATCAGGCATTAAGAACATTATCAGAAACCAGCTGGGGAAGTTAAGGCAGCAGGTGTTCCCAGTTGAGCTTGCTCTCTCTAGGTGAACTTGCCATGGCTATACTTTCAGCTTGTCCTTCCCACTGTACATCTTTTACATCTCAGATTAAACAGTGATAGCATCTGTTGAAAATGATGTTCCTTCAGGCTGTTCTCAAGGACACAGAGCTGTCTTGAGCTATCTCGTTGTCAGTTGTATTTCTTCTCTGTCACAGAGTAGGGGCTCCCATTTCTCACACAAGGGGCTTTGGAGTCTGAAGTAGAGGGACCAACCCCACTTCCAGTGCCAGCTGCCTCGTGAGCTTAAACAGTGCGTGGCAATTGGCTTACATGGTGCACTTCCCGGACTCCGTCAGCATCCGCCACATTTCCTTGTATGCTGTTGAAGGATGCAGCCAGCCTCAGAGCCTCCTTCCTCGTCTCTTCTCACTTCCTCCTTCCCTCTCCTGCAAGTGACTTTTTGTAACTGCCCTGCAGTTTAGTGGGCAGGTTGACTTTCCTTTTTGCACTCTGGACATGGACTTGACCCTTTGACATAATATTGATTGTTATGCCCTTGGGCAGCACTTTTGAAATCTCTTTCCAAATGTGTCAGTGACCTTAGGGTCACTTGCTTTTTGATTCAGTATTGCATAGGAACATTTTATTAACTCTTTAATATCTTTTCCTATTTGTATTTTTTTTTGAGACAATGTCCCAGGCTAGCCTTGAACCCATGATCCTCTTGCTTCAGTTTCCCAGTAGAGTCCAAGGTTATAGGCACATGCCATATTGCCTAGCCCTTTTCTTATTTTTAAGACATAAAGAAATCGCTCCTTGTCCCTTTGCTAAGGTGAAGTGTGGTATCTGTTCTTATCAGTTGAGTAGCAGAGACTTCCTCTGTCTGAGGACAACACAGTAAAGATAGACCTTTGGTGCTGGGAGATGGAATGGGAGCTTGCTCTGCCCACTCCATGCAGAGATCTGTTGCAGCACCTCTGGGAACGGTGCACTCCTCTTGGGGGAGCATCTGAAAGAAATAAGTGCTCCTTAGAAGCACTCCCTTCCCTTAACTTTTGTAGGGGGAGACAAGATCTCATATAATCATGCAGCCCAACTGACCTCACACTGGCTGTCAGGGAGGATGACCTTGAACTCCTTATTCTTTTATACATCCTAGGTGCTGGGACCACTCACCTTCACACCAAAAGTACATTGTTGTGTTTTGATTTGTTTTATTTTATGCATGAGTATTTTACCTGCACATTGTATATGCCTGGTGTCTGTGGAGGTCAGAAGACACCAGATCCCCTAGAACTGTAGTTCTGGGTGGTTGTGAGCTGCTGTATGGGTGCTGGGAATCAAGCCCAGGTCCTCTCCAAGAGTAACAAGTGTTGCTAACCTCTGAGCCGTCTCATCAGCCCTCAAAAGTTCTGTTTTAAAGGTAAAAAATAGCACTTAACACCACCATGCAGCCATTTTTACTGAGCTGAATTTTAGAGTTTTCCATAAAAACAAATGGTACCCAGTTTTAGTGACTCTCAAAAGCACAGTCAGGTGCACAGAACTTCGAGCTCCGCTTGTGTTACTGAAGGTCTGCAGTCATCACTGGAATTCTCTGCTCAGTGTGAACTCTGACCTCAAATACAGTGAGTTAAGTATGAAGTGATTATTAATCAAGTCCAATAGATTCGCACTTCCATTGATAGCTCATCGGAGGAAGAACCCAAGGAGGGAGACAGCAGAGAGCTCTCTGAGCTGCGTGTAGAGGTGAGCTGGATAATCTCCAGCTAAGTCTCCCTGGATCCGGGTGCTGGTCTAGGCTGTCTGCAGGACAGGGGCCTCGGTCCTGGTCCTCTCATTCCTCTCTCTGTATCAAGGCTGTACATACCTCCTTGCTTTCCCAGCTCAGTGCACCAGGTAGGAAGCCGGCAGCCTGGGCTTGCCTCCTTTCCACACCTCCCTTCAGTACTGCTCTTCCTCTTTTGACCACACGAGGGAGGGTTGGGATCGCTCCCAGGGACAGCCTGTTTCACAAAAGCCATAGAGACAAAAGACTTAAGGTATACAAACTGTTACCTGGGTCACCTCAGAATTGATTTCAAAATATTTTTTTGCCACTTACCCTTATTTTATGTATACTTTTCATTTTTGAAAAATATTCATACATCAATACATAATTTCCACCTCCCTTGCCCCCAACTCCTCCTGTGCCCGCTTCCTCTCTCGCGTTCTTGATCGCTTCTTTAATACAATATTAATATTAATTTAGTACAATGCTTATAGGAAAACAGTAAACGGGAAAGCAATCCAAGCTTCTCAGGATCATAAACATTGCTATGTTGTCTAAGCTTAGAAGCAAAACCTTCCACCTCAGCAGGAAGCTCATTTTTAAGATGCACATTTTCATCTTAAACTCATTTATTTTGATAAATATTAGAATGAAAAAAATCAATCTCCAAAATACGTTAGCTCTTGAATAAAATGCAAACATGAAGACTGTTCCGGAGCATTATGGGGGGGGAGCATTAAGGCCAAAGGGGTAATTCACAGAAGCATTCAAAGCGGGCTGATTGAGTGACCCTGGGTAGGGCAAGATCTACACAATCGAAAAGATGGGTGTAGTCTGCTTGGTAGGAGACATTTATAATTGATTACAAATTTCAGCAGAGATCTTTGCTGTCCAGTCCATATTGGAAGCAGCTCCAGTCAACTTAATTTTAAACCCTAGACTGAGATCTCAAACTCCTACATATATCAGGTAGGAAATCGCTTATGTATTACCTTGAGTTACCATTGGGCACTGAAAATTGTGTTATTAGATACAGAATGATCCTGCTGGTCTACAGAGAATTTACTGATGTACTTGGGTACAAATGGCTCTGTTTTCTCGCGTCAAACTCTCATACTTTTGTTTTACTTTTATTTTATATTAATTTTGAGGAATGCTGGGTATTAACCCAGGACTTGTAAAATTCTTACCATACAAATGTCCCATCATCAAGCCTCACCTCCAGGTCCTCATAATTTACTTAATGAGATTTAAGTGTGGTTTCCTGGAGTTATTTAAAATTAATATGTTTTATTTGCAAGAAGAAAGTTTTCTGGTTCATTTTCATTCTCTCTCTGTGACTCTCAATATAGGCTTGCTGCATAGGCCTGGCTGCTATGAAATTTACATGCAAACCAAGTTGTCCTTGAACTCACAGTAATCCTCCTGCCTCTACTTCCCAAGTGCTCAGATTTTAGCTACGTGCCACCTTTCTCTGAAGCCTCATTTGTATTTTAAGGAAATTAAATCATGATAATTTTTTCATATTATATTAGCATTTTAATTATTAATGATTTCTTTAGAAGATTAGTGAATGGCTACACGATATTTTATGTTTTTTGTTAGTAAACACAATTCCACCTTTCTTGGTTCAGCAAAGATAGTTTACTCTATATAAATACAATAGCTAAACTACAGCAACAGAATCAATGTATAGATTTGACATCGCTCTTATTTGTAAAACCTAGTTATTTTGAAAGATGATACTTATTATCATGTGTTTAAAATGTTTTTTTTCTTTATTTTTATTTTATATGTATGGGTGTTTTGCCTGCATGCAGGCCTCAGCACCACGTGTGTGCAGTGACCACAGAGGCCAGAAGGGGGCGTCAGATCCTCCAGGACTGGAATTGCAGATGGTTGTAAGCCATGATGTAGATTCTCAGAATGCAAACTGTGTCCTTTGGAAGGGCCAGACGTTTTCTTGACTGCTCAGCCATCTTTCCAGCCCCTAGTAGTGCGCTTCTGAGGTTGACTAAAACTCCTTGCTTCTTTCAGCTGTCTGCGGCTAGCACTGAATTTGCTTTCGTTCACCTCATGAGAGGTTTCATGTTGTACGTGTTCCTCCTTTCCAGATTGCATTCTGGACACTCGCATTTGTTCTGGCCCATCCTGAAGTCCACAAGACCGTTTTAGAAGCCATATCTTCTGTGTTCGGCACTACAGGTACTAAGTTAATTTACCTAACTAAGGGCGCATTTAGTCCGTATGATTTATATCTTGACTGTCTACCATGTTTTAAAGTCAGGACCAGGGCTTGGGAGATGGCTCTGTTGGTAAAGGGCTGGCGACATGAGCATGAGGTCTTAAGTTCAATCCCCAGCACCGGTTAAAAAAGAAAAAAAGGCTGGGTAAGGCCTTTTTCTTGCAATCCCAGTGCTTAACATGTAAAATTATGGACCGCCATAAGAAAAATGAAAAATAATTTGATTTTTCTTGTTCAAAAGTGTAATATCATTGTATAAAATACCATGTGAGTTAAAAGTTGTCCCTCCCTCGCCTCCTCCATGATGACTGAAAATATTTTGAAAATACTTTGGCGTTTCTTCCAAACTCAAGCAAACTTGACTATCCTGTTGGGTACCTAAGCAGTGCCTTGCCAGCCCAGAAAGTGAACCCAGCAGTATCGGGCTTTATCTTAGAGACATTTGGGCATTGGAATTATTAAGAACTAGGGATGCTCACAGTGGGATTCCAGAAATTCACCGATGAATTTCAGGACAGGTCATTGCTCTATAGAGAGCCCAGCTCCACAGGGCTGATCACAGATGGGCAGAGTGAGTAAACAGTAGGGACCCTCCCTGACTCATGCTCTTCCCCATTTGCTGGGGTGCTCCCTGACTCATGCTCTTCCCCATTTGCTGGGGTGTTCCCTGAATCAAGCTCTTCCTGTTTGCTGGGGTGCTCCTTAACTTAAGCTCTTCCTGTTTGCTGGGGTGCTCCCTGACTCCAGCTCTTCCCATTTGCTGGGGTGCTCCCTGAATCAAGCTCTTCCTGTTTGCTGGGGTGCTCCTTAACTTAAGCTCTTCCTGTTTGCTGGGGTGCTCCCTGACTCCAGCTCTTCCCATTTGCTGGGGTGCTCCCTGAATCAAGCTCTTCCCGTTTGCTGGGGTGCTCCCTGACTCAAGCTCTTCCCATTTGCTGGGGTGCTCCCTGACTCAAGCTCTTCCCATTTGCTGGGGTGCTCCCTGACTCCAGCTCTTCCCATTTGCTGGGGTGCTCCCTGAATCAAGCTCTTCCCGTTTGCTGGGGTGCTCCCTGACTCAAGCTCTTCCCGTTTGCTGGGGTGCTCCCTGACTCAAGCTCTTCCCGTTTGCTGGGGTGCTCCCTGACTCAAGCTCTTCCCATTTGCTGGGGTGCTCCCTGACTCAAGCTCTTCCCGTTTGCTGGGGTGCTCCCTGACTCATGTTCTTCCCTATTTGCTGGGGTGCTCCCTGACTCAAGCTCTTCCCGTTTGCTGGGGTGCTCCCTGAATTCCAGTTCTTGGGATTCCTGGCCTTTGGGAAGTGCAAGGCCAGGGAAAGAGTGGTGGGGAAAATGTGGAGAGCCCAAGTGACTCAGAGGCTACAAATGGAGTGTGACATTAGTCTGAGTGTCTGCAGGGCTCGAATTTGGAGCCCTTAGATGTGGCTCCCGTGTAAAGAGACAAAACTCCTTCTCTCTTCTGTACCATCGCTTGTTTTCAGAACCTGTTATTCTCTATTAACAGAAAAACATTGCTTCAAACACTGTTTCATGGTAATAGCTTCGCTGTATCGATGATGTCCGTTGTAAGTCATGACTGCAGAATAGAAAGCAACTCACAAAAATATAAAACTTAAAAAAAACTGTATGTGTATAGGGGTAGCTCAGAGCTCTCTGAGCAAATGAAATATCTCTAGAACTAATTATGCATAAGCTGTTGCAATGGCTCAGAAATCTAGACGTGGAAGGAGGCCATGAGGCCATGAATCCTAGAGATTGATACCGAGGAAGATATCCATGAAGCTATATGAAGGAACATGCAAGAGAAGGAATATTAGGGTATGCTGTATTATCAAGTCTTCTCCAGAAAAATAGACCAATATGAGATGGTTGGAGTGCTGGATAGACAGTAGGTTATTAGGTCCATAATTAGATAGATATTAAATGGATAGATAGTTCTAGAAAGATTAATTTTACATTTTTACAGCTTATTTTTACTTTTAAATTGTGTGACCATTTATGTGTCTGCATGTGACTCTAAGCATGTGAGTGTAGGTACCCACAGATGCCAGAAGATGGAGCCCCATCCCCTGGAGCTGGAGCAACTGGCCCTTGTGAGCCATCTGATGTGGGGGCTGGGAACTGAACTTGGGTCCTTTGCAAGAGCAGCCTCATAAGGAGGAACTGGTGGATGTGATTACAGATCCTGCTAGCACGGTCTTAGCCATGTGATCCTACTGAAGTCTGTCCTGTGAGGTTAGTGGCTTCTCTGGACCTGGACATGGTTTATCTATACTGAGACGCTATGTGCCTCCTGTTCTTAGCCACGGGCTTCTGTGTGCATGGCAGGTGCTTTCTGCATCCGGTCAGCCATTGAGAACTGCCTTAACTCCTGCCTCTGCTTGTGTGGAGCCTCATGGCCGGCCACGTCAAGGATTGGGTGTTTTCAGTGCCTTCTGGAGACTGGAGCGTGAGTGCACAGCCCTACACAAATGAATGACCTCTGGCTTGTGCGGGAATATAGACCTCTTCAAGGCCACTACCCACACCTGCTTCCCCAGGCGTTCAGTTTCATCTGTACAGTTTACCTGGTATTTGTCTGTCTACTGCTGCAGGCGGCTGCAAAGGTGAACAAATTACCTTTAAAGGTTTTTCTCCCAGCACTCCTCAGGACAAAGCTCCCTGCTTTTCTGCTTCAGAAGTTTGGATAAACAATGATCACATTCTTCTTGGCGCCTATATTCTAGGAGAGGAAAAAAAAAACAATGATGAATTTAATGCATAAATAAATCAAGACTGTTAGCAGCTACCATATTCTGTATACAAAAGGAAACAGACCTGAACGTGGATGATTACCCAGGCCAGGCGTGGAAGCATGGGTTGAGCAGGTGGATCCGGCTGGGCCTTATTGCAAGGACTTGAAGTGGTTTGGGGTTAGACAGGTAGGAATCTGGAGGCGGGGGAGGGAGCAGATGTGAGCCCACAGAATCTGCAGTTCTGTTGAAATGATCGTGTCATTCATTCCACGGCAGAATGTGTAAGGAATGGATTCACCACGTGGAGAGAGGAGCTCTAATACGCCATCTTTCCTGAGGCCTTGCCCTTCCCTGGACAGGCATACTCCCAGTTCTTCCTTGTTTTGTTTTGTTTTGTTTTGTTTTTCCTTATAATTTTTTAAAAAGAAAGCAAAGTATCTTTTATCATTTTACATACCGATTGCAGTTCCCACTCCCTCCCCTCCTCCCATGCCCTCCACCTACCTTTCCACCCCACCTCCATCCAATCTTCAGAGATGATAAGGCACATTACTTTGGAAAAGGTCCAACGCCCTCCCTACTTTAGTTGGCTGAGCAAGGTATCCATCCAAAGAGAATGGGTTCCCAAAAAGCCAGTGCAAGTAGGGATCAATCCTGGTCCCACTGCCATTGGCCCCACAGTCTGCCCCAGTCATACATCTGTTACCCACATTCAGAGGGTCTAGTTTGGTCTTATGCTTGTTCCTTCCCTGTCCTGCTGGAGTTGGTGTGCTCTGTTGTGGGTCTCTGCCTCTGTTTCCATCAGTTGATGGATGAAGGTTCTATGGGGACATTTAAGATAGTCGTCAATCTGCCTACAGAGCAAGGCCAGTTCAGGCACCCTCTCCTCTATTGCTTAAGGTATTAGCTGGAGGCCATCCTTTTGAATTCCTGGGAATTTCTCTAGTGCCAGGTTTCTTGCTAGCCCCATAATAATGACTTCCTCAATCAAGATTATCTCTTTTCTTGCTCTCATCTCTGTCCTTCCCCCATCTTGACTACCTTGTTCCCTCAAGTTCTCCTCTCCCTCCCCTTCTCTCCTCCTTTCCCCTTCCACCCCCCTTTTTCCCCCTGCCCCCATGCTCCCAATTTTGTCAGGCCATCTTGTCTATTTCTCCTTTCCAGGTGGATCCATGTTTGTTTGGTTTTTTTTTTTTGGGGGGGGGGTTCACCTTGTTACTTAGCTTCTCTAGGATCATGAACTATAGGCTCAATATCCTTTACTTTACAGCTAGTACCCACTTATGAGTGAGTACATACCATGTCCATCTTTCTGGATCTGGGATACCTCACTCAGGATGTTTTTTTTCTAGTTCCATCCATTTGCATGCAAATTTCAGGATGTCATTATTTTTTACCGCTGAGTAGTACGCCAGTGTGTAAACATGCGAAATAACATGCCCAGTTCATGGCTTTAACTCTCCATTTTACTAGCCACCTGCTCCCTAGTCATTTCTGGACATCTCTAATACAGAGAGCGTGCCATCAGTTGATCACAGCAGACAGTCTGGGGGGGCGGCATCATGCCTCATCCCTTTCCCTTGTCTGCTGCAGAGGGCATCCCTGCTCCTTTCCCTCCTGTGATGCATTCATGTCCCAGCACCAGCATCTCTCTCCAGATCTCTGCTTCCTGTCTCCATTGCCAGCAGGGTTTCCCAGACTGAGCCCCAGGAGCTCACTCCAGCTGACTGGGGGTGGGTCTTTTGTTTGTGTGTTTATTTTCTTTTGTTCTTAATAAATCTGCTAAAATGTGGGATTTCCAGGAGGGCGGGATGTGCTGTGCAGGGAGGGTAGCGCCAGAGACGCTCCCAACCAGGCCACGGGCTGTCTGGCAAGCCCAGTATACCCACTAATGCCAAGCACGCAGTGACACTGGCAGGGGACACTAAATGACATCGTGTCCCTGGGAACTTCAGCCTGTGAAATCTGCAGTGGGTGCCAGGAAAATCACAAGCTCAGTCTCCATTTTTTCCTATCACTAGCTTTCTCTCCCCCTTCTTTTTTTATTTTATATTATTTTTTATTCATGTGTAGGTTTGTGTCTGTATTTGTATATTCACAAATGTAAATGTGTGGGGGAGTGTATATACGCTCAGGTGTGTGTGTGTGCGTGCGCCTGTGTGTCCTTGCACATGTCTGAGAAGGTCTGAAGAGAGCATGGCATCTGCTAGAGCTGAGGTTACAGCA